ACTTTTGTCCTCATGGCGCCTCCCGACGGCTGGACACCAGAGACCCCGGTGATCATCGCCGCCAACCGCCTACCTGTCCGCCTCTTCAGGACGTCGGACGGCCAATGGCACGTCGAATGGGCCGGAGACCGCATGATCGAGTCGCAGAACACGCTGTCCCACTACGAGATTTCGGAGCGCGCCACCATCAAGTTCGTCGGCCGTGTAGTCGACGCGGACGTGCCATTCGAAGAGCGACAGCAAGTCGAGCTTTTACTACGCGAATTCAACTGCTTTCCAGTGTTTCTTGAGCCCCAAGAAGCCAAATTGTACTACGAAGATTACTGCAAACAAACACTCTGGCCAACATTCCACAACGTCGTGGACGTTTACAGTCCCGTGGACGTAGTCCTCGATGTCCAAGCGCAGCAACATTTAGCACCCAGCGCTCAGTTCTGGAATCCTAATTGGCAGAAAGTGGCGTGGCAAGCTTATGCCAATGTGAACCAGTTGTTCGCACACAAAATATGTGAATTGTACGAACAGGGAGACGTCGTGTGGGTGCAGGATTATCACTTGCTATTAACACCGAGTTATATCGTACGGAAACTCAGAGCTGCCAACGTAGGACTGTTCCTACACGTCCCGTTTCCGTCTTCCGAGGTGTTTAGAACCGTTTCTATGAGGAAGGAACTGCTACGAGGCATGCTTAATGCCGACCATATCGGTTTCCACCTGTTCGAGTATGCTCGACACTTCATGTCGGCCTGTCGACGTATCTTGAGACTGAGTTACGAGCCGATATTGAGGGGACAGCTGGGGATTGACTATGGCGGACGACGCGTTGCTGTCACCTGTAGCCACATGGCTATCGACGTTCAGAGGATCGAGGAGACTTTAGTCAGTAAAGATGTGCGTGATATGGTGGTGGCTTTACGTCAGAAATACCGGGACAAGAAGATCTTTGCTGGCTGTGATAGCATCGAGCGACTGAAAGGCATTCCGTCCAAGATGTTGGCATTTGACGGCTTCCTCTCGAGATGTCCGGACTTTATCGGGAAGGCTGTGTTGGTGCAGAAAGGAATCCACAGACGTGGTCGCGTGACGGATTATTTGCAGAGCAAGAAGGAGATTGAGCTGGCGGTTAAAGCGATTAACAGCAAGTATCGCGATGTGGCTAAGGGGAATGTAGTCGACTATGAAGAAGTGGAGGAATTTCCATTTAAAGAGCGCGTGGCGCTGTGGCGTGTGGCCGATGTGCAGATCACTACAGTACTGCGAGACGGACTCAACACGACGCCGTTTGAGTATATTGCCACACACAAGTACGACGTCTGTATCACTCTATGACGAGTACTATTATCCTTTAACTTCTGCGCTGTATGTACTGTAGAACGTCACCGGGTGTACTCATTTTGAGCGAGTTTTCCGGAAGTAGCCGTCTACTTAGTGGAGCTCTGACGGTGAACCCTTGGGAGCTGGATCAAGTGATCGACGCGCTTCGAGATGCCGTATATATGCCCACAAACGAACGCGAGCATCGACGCAATTGCGACTTCCAGTTCGTGGCAGCAAACCCTCCGCGACGTTGGGCCAAGTGCGTATTGACGGACATTGTGAACGCACGGAAGAAAGAAGAGTCGTTCGTGTACATGGGCACAGGATTTGGTCTCGATTTCCGCTTGATGGAAGTCAGCGCGCAGTTCCGAGTACGTCACGACTTCTGAAACTGAGGAAAATGTCGTTGAACTAACCGTATTAAGCGTTTATTGGCTGTAGAAATTAACGGGACAGGAGCTTACTCCAGCGTATCGCACGAGTACGAACCGTGCGATCTTCCTGGACTACTATCGAACTCTAGCTCCAGACGTATCGACGCTGATGGGCGTGCGATGGCCTGACGTGCCTCTGAGCGCGCTGTCCACACTTGAACATTTGTGTAAAGACCCTCGTAACACCGTGTTCATCGTCAGTGGCTGTAACTGCGACCTCCTTACGCAGAAGTTCGGTGGAGTTCCAGGTTTGGGTCTCGTGGCTGAGCACGGATACTTCATCCGACGTGCGGTACTTGGCAATAATGCTCGTATCGGACGGCCCTGGGAAAGACACGGGGACATTCTGCAGTCAGACGGTGGACACCAGCAATGGCGCGTCAAGGCCGAGAAGATCGTCCAGCTATATGTTGATCGCACGAACGGCTCGACGCTGGAGCTTCGGAGAAGTGCCGTGCTGTTCCGATACGGCAAGTCCGACTTTGATTTTGGTGCATTGCAGGCAGCAGAGCTGAAGGAACACCTTGAGGGCGTCTTTGAGGTATGCGGAATAGCCTACAGCCTCATAGATGGAAGTGACTAACGTGGGTTGCGCTGAGAGCAGGGCTGGCCGCTGAATATTATCCAAGGCAAAGACTACATCGAGGTGCGACCGGAAGGAGTTGGCAAGGGCAAACTGATCGGCCACTTGCTGAACAAGATGCGCGTCGATGGGAACCCGACAGATTTCGTGCTGTGTATCGGAGATGATGTGGCCGACGAGCTCATGTTCGAGCAGCTCAAGACGATGACAGCACACGAAGAACTGCCACAAGGTACGAAGTGTTGTATGGAGAGCTTTGCGGGGATAGTTCTCACCATTATGTGGCATTTGCTGTGCAGACAAAGTGTTTACATGTACGGTGGGTCAGAAACCCTCCAAGGCTGAGTTCTTTGTCGACGACTACACCGACGTAATCGCCCTGTTGAAGTCGCTTAAAGTGGTCGCAACTAAGGTAATTGGCGCATCGTCACGGGGTATTGGTTTGCGGTTGAAACTAACTCGTGCTGTTGTCACTACGGAGCAGTCCAACCGAAACTATTCGCTGTCGGATATGCAGTCGTTTGTGCGAGACACGAGGCCGTTCCTGTCGTCGTCGTCTCACGGCACTAGTGGAGTTTCAAGAAGTGCAACATCAGATGCGGTGATACGAAAGTCATCCAGCCGCCACGCACTCTACAATCACCTGTACGTGACGTCTGTCAAGAACGTGATCTCTAACGGAGAACTCACGCGTCCCTTTTGTTGTTTAGGACGCCTGTGATCGAGGATCAAATCGTGTCCACAGAGGGAGGCAACGTTCGGTCTCCTTCGCGAAACCGCCGCAAGAACACGTGGCTGAATCGCCTGCAACAGCTTGGTGTCGTGGCTGTATTGGTTGGCATTCTTCGCTGGCGTAGCGGGGTAAAGAACCCTCGCGAAAAGAAGCTGCTGATGTATCTCGTAGCGTCACTGGGGATCGCCTGGTCCATCCAGCGCCTGCGATCAAGGCCACACAAGTAACCGGGTAATCATATGATAAGGTAATAACTTAGCAATTGATGCACACGTATATATTGCGGTCTTGATGTGACCTCCACGGCTGATACTTGAGCAGGTCTTGCCTAGCTGTTCAGACGCTGATCCCATTCTCAGCGCCCCATTTCTTCATGATGCGCACGATGTACTCGACCTGCGGGTTGTTGTTGGCTTTGAGGATGCTGAGCACTTCCTCAAGTTCCACTCGTGTCGCTTTCCCCGCTACTGCACGCTGGAAAACACCGACACAAGCGCCTCGCTTGCCTTCCCAGTACTCCGGATCGGGGTCTAGTCTTTCAAGAATGTCAAAGGCTTTGGCAGCGTAGAGGAACTCGCCCATTTTGTAGCAGTCGTGGGCGATGAGTTGCAGCAGGTTGAACGAATCGTCCGAGTTGTCGAGCTTCAGATACAAATCCCAGGCTGCCGACGGGTTCCGATTCAGGATGTAACATCTCGTTAACCAGCTGACGTAGCAGTAATCGTGTCGATACTCCTCTTGCTGCACTCGTAGTAGCGTTTCAAGCGCTTCCTGGTGCGACCCAGTGTTGCAAAGAGTGATGCCGAAGTTCCAGTTGAAGTCGTCTTCGTTGTACAGATACTGCTTGATGGAGTTGAGGTAGATGTTGACGTCCTCGAACTGCTTCAGCAAGTAGAAACACGAAGCCATACACTGACGTCCGGGAATCGTATCACACTCAGTGGGGGAGGACCCCACGAGCTGGAAATACTGCTGTGCTGTCTTGATATGCTGTCGAGACGATGTCGACTGGCCCAGTGTTGCGTGCACGACACCTTTGAGTATGTATTCTTGGGGTGTAGATGGCTCCACGTCTTTGATAAGGTCGTACGCTTCCTGTAGCTTGGCGTGTTTGAGGTAGTACACTACCAGATTGAGTCGAGCTTCTGGTAGAGCGTCCACAAACTGAGGTAGAACTCTCAACGCGTGCTGTCCGTCCTCAAACACCACCATATTATGACTGACAAGATCATTTTGGTCAATATTGTAGCCACGGTCGGTCAGTGTCTTGACCTCGTCTTTGGCTGCGGCTCCGTTGTAGAGCTTGAATTGGTTGCACGCCTTGACGTTCACAGCCACGACACTGTCTGGAAAAGCCTGGAGATACGCTTGCATGATCTCGAGCGATACGTCGTAGTAGTCGAGTTTGTAGTAGCACATGGCCACATACACATTGAGAGCGATATCGTCTCTGTTCTCGAGCAGAAGACGCTTATAGATGTCTGTGGCTTCCTGGAAATGGTTCCGGAAGTAGTGGATCGCTGCTAGTGACAGCTGATCCTCCTTCGAGTCTGTAAGCTGCTGGTGATACACTAGTAATTTGTCTTCGTCGCCTAATTTATGAGCACAATGAAAGAGTAGGCGGTTCTGTAGTGGCCCAGTGGGTCCCTTTTCCGCCTCTTTAGTTGCCTCCTTGTACATTTGCAGGTAGAAAAGGCAGCAACCTCGATAGAGGAAGATCTCGGGCGTATCGTCCACGTCTCGCAGTTGTTCGTAGGCGTCCAGTGCACGCTGGTAGTTGCCTAGATGGAAGGACGTGTACGCTAGCCAGAGAAGCGTCTTACGCTTCTCCTCTGCCTTGGCAGGGCCCGTCACACTCGATGCGTCGTCGCTCTTGAGGTTGAACTCGAGGATGGCCGAGGCGCCTGTGAAGTCTCTCTTGGCTACACATTCCTCCACCGTCGGACCTTTCTTGGTCTTGATGCGCGCGATCTCCTGCGCTTTGGCGCGCTGCGTCTGCTTGGGCTTGGCGACGTACATCCTGGCAAGCTTCGCGGCGCTTCAAGATCGAAAATGTAGCCATCTCAGTTTGATGTGGCTCACATACATGGCTGCTCGAAATTGACGTGTCAGACCCTAATTTGTTGTAACCACCCCAGAGTTTTTCATTCGTTGAGATCAAGCATGGGTAGACGTGACGAAGAGGCCGATGCCGGCCGTCGCTACGGGCGCCACAGAGCGTCCCCGAGCCCGACACGAGGAGAGGACAATGAAGAAGCTATTCGCAATAAGCTTCGTGAGTCTGGATGGAAGAAGCGTCGTACAGAGAGCGACAGCACGGTAGACGCTGACTCCTCCAAGGATCAAGAAAATACCAAAGAGCGAATGGACAAAGGCTCCCTACGGCCCGACGATGCTCGCCGTGCTTCCAGATCGTCGCGTCGCTCGTGCTCTCCTCGTAGACGCGACCGGGAACACCGCAGCTCGCGCAGGAAGTCGTCGGGTAGCAGACGCCGGTCGATGTCCAGGTCCCGCTCGCCTGCTTCGCGCTCTCGCTCGCGGTCCACAGGTCGACGACGTCGCCGCCACTCGTCATCCTCGAGAAAGCGCCACTCATCACGCTCGCCATCGCGCACGCGGGACTCAAAACGGTCGCGCAGGTCCACGTCTGCAACCAAGAAGAAGT